AATGAATAAAGAAATTCTATTTCATATTTCGTTTATTAGCTAATGTGTATAACCTCTAAATACTCTACATCTCTACTCTGACGTCACTGAATTTGCAATACGCAATACTAGATGGCGTTGATGTATGCCACAAAATGGCTGCCAGACATGCTTCTGACATTTGACTATATGGCCGAATTAAGAAGTTACCTAGTTACCTATTTTAATCGGTGGTATTATAATTTACGAAGTGCTATGTATTAATATGGATGTGTCTGTTTAACTTTTCACTCTGTAAATTACTGTAAATTACATTTTTGTTGCAATAAATAGTTATTAAATCTATTTTATAATTAAGTCACTAGATTGTTTAACGAAAGTTCGCGACATTAATTTAAATAATGTATATTAAACACGAAAGTTTAAAATTAACTATTACATTTTTGTTGCAATAAATAGTTATTTTATTGCAATAAATAGTTAATCTATTTTATAATTAAGTCCTGAGTTACATTCAAAACTTAATTTTATTTCTATTTATTTCCTCTATTTCTATACCTGTGTCATCTACCTATAGGCAAAACAGTTATATGTAGCGAGCAAGTAATAACTTCAACAGATTAAGTTGGGTATTAGATATTGATTTGTTTTCCGATAGAATATCTTTAGCGAGGGTCATAACGAGCAGGCAATTCTTTGATTTATAAATATCGAATTTAATGTTACTTATATGCATTTTCTTTTTTTTTAAAAATGTTTGTTTTTTATGGTTTCAGTATGTGTTTTAATTTAGTAGATTGTTATTTTTTGATATATGATTTTATGAGTACTTATGACACATACACGCCTCTCGAGTTAGTACTGTATTTTTTTTATATTACGTTTGTATCCGTGATGGATCCGTGGATGGAGACCGAGACGACGAGCAAAGAAAACGGCACCGTTATAGTTGTAGAATATTTGTGTATGACTTATGTCATATAAAAACAATATATTATTTAAAAAAATATAGACAATAAAAAAGGTATACAAAATAGTTTCCAACACTGTAAGTGGCCGTTCTGATTTATTTATGTTTATAACTATGTTTGCAAATTTCCTTGGTATTCCAAAAAAAAAAAATAACTAGTATACATTTTTTTCCCGGGACAATTAACACAGCGTTATCTAGTACCACGGTAAGCAGAAGTTGTATTATGGGTACTAGACAACTGATATAGGTACTTACTTATAGGTAAGTCCTGACATGACAACTGAAAATATAAAAAGTGATATTGCTATTGTAAAAGTTATAGTTTATATGGTCTGTGACAATATAGTAAAATAAATAATCTGTGACCATTGTCAATACATTCTCTGTGTTATTCGATATGCAAATTGTCTCTGAAATAAATGTAAAATTTAATAAAAGTTACGTGATAATAAAAAGTATTTACAAAACATCAGTAAAATTTTGTGTTACTGTTTTACAGAAGCTCGAATCTATTAATATTTTCGGCATAATCGCACCGACTTTTATTATTTATTATATATTAATATTGACTTTTATTATTTGAATTATTTGTTTATTGTTTTAGACTTGATAACGAGAACTTGGGTGTATATCACAAATTCACACTGTTTAATAAGTTTGTTCTGCTTAGTTTGTACTAGATGGCGTTGTGTGTTCTCTCCATTTTATATTACTAGCTGACCTGGCAAACTTTTGTTTGGCTTATTATTTCTGGATAGATAGGTAGGTATCACCTTTATATCTTGGTGTATTGGTCCTAGAAACTGTCGTAATAAATTCTTGGTGAATTTACCACAATGAGCTAACTGACCTGACATTATACTCATCTTATCATCCTCCACTGGTGCCCCACCAGCGTATACCTTTGCGCAGGAGGGTGCAACATTCCATTATCATCCCTTAAAAAAAATCCTGGTGAGGATAGGCAAGAGTATTGTTAGTAATGTGGACAGATGATTATTGCTAGCAAAGTACCATGTCAGTTTGACCTCAACGCGGTTCCCCAATGGTTTCCATTGTGATAAATTCTTGGCGAATTTGTCACGATGGGCTAACCTGACCTCATGTTCATCTTATCATCCTCCACTCGTGCCCCGTCAGCGCATACCGTTAGAGCAGATGGGTGCATCATTCCAAAAAAAAAGTCCTGGTGAATTTGTTACAATGGGCTAACTAACTTGACCTCAAACACAATCTGCCATCCTCCATTAGTGTCCTGCCAGCGTAAACCGTTAGCATAGGCGGGTAAACCTATAGCGGAGTTGAGTATTGCATGTGCATTTCACCCCAGCTCCGACGGCAACCCCTATTAATTTAACCCTTATTATTATTATTATTAGTGAGTGAACCTAGGCTTTGCTCAGTATGTTTGTATAAAAATATCAGATATATAAAAATATATATCTATGGATATTTTTAACGATGTATATAAAATTCTTGATGTTACTGGCAGGTTGTATACTATTCTTTTTATAAACTTTGTATTTTTTATTTTTTTTAAGTTCCCTGTGTCCCTTTTCAGGGAAAGGCCAAAGGACTCAGCCCATACAGCCAATCTTGTATTTTTGATATATGTTTTTTATATGTCACTTTTGACGTTACTTCTTGGCTGTGAGCCCTTATGGGAAATATATATAAATTTATTAAAATTATTCTAATTTTTAATAAAATAGTAGAGTACCCGCTCCAGTTACACTTGTGTCACAGTGTTTGTAACAAAACAACTCTGAAACTGAAAATTGTGTACATAGATCTGAGAACTGACTGGTTCTAGACTATTCCTATCCTAAGTGATAAGGGTGATCCACCCCAAAAATTTATTTTCTAGACTATTTTTTTATTTTAATTTCTTTATGCTTCAGAATTACATGCAGCAATACATGCAATGCTATTTACCCTTCTACCATCAACCCCTATCTTATAATAGCGGTAATTTATATGGCTGTACACCGTTTGCGAAGTCAGCTAGGCTGTCTTATATAATTTATCTTATAAAATTTAATGCACTCCCATAAACTTTTACAGTATTACGAGCATTACAAGATGAGATTACTCGGTTCTCATTCGTTTCCATTACAGATGCGTACAGTATTATGTATCCACGGTTATTTCACCGCCATATTATTACACTTTCATCCGGAATACAGCTCGTTTGGTGGCAGTAAGGCTGGTAACATACATTCGGTTTTTTAAGTATGATAATGGAATGATGCACCCGTTTACGCTAACGGTATACGCTGACGGGGCACCAGTGGAGGATGATAAGATATTTATGTCGTCAAGTCAGTTAGACCATCGTGGCAAATTCACCAGGAATTTCACATAACCATCATGTGAAATTCCTGGTGAATTCAGGGGTTCCAAACCTAACGGTTTACGCTTGCAATCTCCTGGGGAATGGGATTGTCAGCGTTCAGCGAGCTGCACAGCGAGGATGGGGATTGTTAGTAATTTGAACTGTTGATCCATTGCTGGCAATGTACCATGACAGTATGGCGGTTCCCCTGGAAACCATCATATGAAATTCCTGGTGAATTTGTCACGATAGGCTAACTGACCTGACCTCATGTTCATCTTATCGTCCTCCACCAGTATCTTGCCAGCGTAAACTGTTAACGCAGGCGGGTGCACCATTCCATTATCATCCATAAAAAAACCTATAATCCCAACCAATCAATAATTTAATAAGAATGTTAGCAGTGTACAAATTTGTGTATTTTTTATGGACTATGCACATACCATGGTAAGAACGAAATAAAAAAAATGTAATGTGTTTCAAGTGGACGTCAATTCGCGCGTTTCGTTGCTATTCCCCCGTCTTTTTATACCATGGTAGGGGTTTCTCTGCGTGGTCGAAATGAGGAGATCCGCAGAAGAACCAGAGTGACCGATATAGCCCGAAGAATTGCGACTCTGAAGTGGCAATGGGCAGGGCACATAGCTCGTAGGACAGATGGCCGTTGGGGCAGTAAAGTCCTCGAGTGGCGACCACGGTACGGAAGACGCAGCGTGGGAAGGCCTCCAGCAAGGTGGACCAATGATCTGGTCAAGATCGCTGGAAGGCATTGGATGCGAGCAGCGCAGGACCGATCGTCGTGGAGATCTTTGGGGGAGGCCTATGTACAGCAGTGGACGTCTGCCGGGCTGCGATGATGATGATGATGATGATGGTGGCAAACAGCCCGTCTTATTTAAAGATGAGTGGAGTAGAATGTATGTTACCAGCCTAATAGGGTAAGATTGAGGTATCAACATGAAAAGTTCCATTAAAAATTAACCTTCAAGTATGGTTCCCATTTGAGTATCGGATGGCGAAATGGTTTTCCTATAATAATCAACTACACCGGTTGTTTAGCAGTTTAATACATCGTCTTCGATGGTTGTGGGTTCGATTCGGTTTTTGTATTGGTACGTATTTTATATATATTATGTATAGTTTGGAATAGATGGCGTGTGTGAATTGCCATGTGTTATCTATATATATATATATATGTAAAAAAAGTGAATGAAATTTCCACACTTATAGTTTAGAAACAAGTAGTGCAAAAAACTAATGTTTTTTAAAAAAATATGTAATTTGGTGTACATATTATTAATTGTAATTGTTAATAGTAATTGTTATTTTCTTTCCGTGATAGAAACAATCAAGAGTTTTTCATTACATTTAATTAAATAAAAAGAAAGTATTACATACACTACCATATATTTACGCTTTTGTTTATTGTTAAACTCTGTAGTCCAATTAAGGATGGATTAATATTCTTTATCTATAATCTTACTGAATATTAAATTAATTACGGTCGAATTTCGACCACTAGTCGACTTAAAATTACGTCATTATTGATCAATAGCATATTTCCTGTTTCTTTTAACAAAGCGATACACTTATGATTCATCGACTGCGAAAATGAAAATATTATTAAATGGCGGAACGGTGCACTGCCAGAGCCCGAACACAGCTGCGAATGCCCCCCGCACTTCTGCCACCCCCAATCTAAGCTCGCAACTCTCTTCACACCACTGCCTTTTGATTCCACACAAACCCGCTTCCTCGCTCAGTCGCGTTTTGATAGTGCTACATCGTCTACGTTACATTTCATCTTCCACATTTTAACTTGGTAAGTATATTTATATTATTTAATTTATTGTAATAAATCTATAAAATTGTCTCTGAACGTTCTAAATTGGAAATACAAAATGTCGGCGGACATTATCGAACGGTTTTCGCTTCCCGTTCGCTCCCACAGGAACCGGCGATCGAATGCACTTGTCACAGGGGTAAAGGACGCCAGTTGGTTTAATATTCTCATCAAATAAATGTACGCAGAATTCCAATTGGAGATTCATTTTAACGGAACTCGACAGTCGTTATTGGGAACGATGCGCTGGCATGACTTCACGCTAAGATTTTTCTTGAGCCGGCGTTTTCATTGTTTTAATAAACAAGCACACATATACATTAACCCGCCCCAGTTGTCACGGATGCAATTACCGTAGAGTAATTAGTGTATCTTTATTTCTTTTTAATTCAGCTCATGAGCTGACGAGCATAGGCCACCTGTAATTTAAAAAATACAACAGTTATTGGTAATGTTGTTGTCTATAGGTGAAAGAATTATTAAAATCGTTTAAGTACTTTATTAGTTAGTATATTATAAATAAAAATTTAAAATATTTCCTCTATATACAGAGTATGAATAAAACTACTCGTAAGTTTTTAGTATTTCCCATTTTTGTACACGTGTTTTTAATTGTAGTCCTATATATTTCACACCATCATCGATCGTCCATATAGTAACACTCGATACATATGAACTATAAAACTAACTTCAAAATGGCTACAGCTGAGTTTATTGCGTATTTTTCTCAGCAGAATATTAATTACGAATGAGGAGGTAGAATGACAATTAAAAGACCAGGTAATAAAGTTTATTTAAACAAAGAAGTTCTTAAATCTCATTTCTACATTTTTGGTATTGTTTTAATGTATTTAACTATTATTTCTGCCGTCGTCGCGGAAGCAGAAGTCTCAGGTCATACAGATATAAAAATTTCTGTAATTGATGTTAAAGAAATTCATAAATAAGGTTTCTACATTTTCTTATGATTACATACAGAAAGAATGTTTTTTTTCTTTAATACAGGTACATGTATGTTTCTTTGTTCTCAATTTCTTTTGTCTGTTAACATGGTTTCATTAAATTACTATCTATTACTTTTTTTTATTGCGAATTGATCTAATTCTGTTTGCATATTAAATAAAAAAACAAATAACATTCAAACCCACAGATCAAGTAATGTCTGTATAATTTGAGAAGACGTCATCTTTGGTTATTTTAGGGTGGGTGACTTAAAATGGAGGTCGTAATGACAAATAATTGCTTATCTTCTTTTTATTGTGCTTCCGATGTCATTGTGTTTACACAGAGATATTGAAAAGAAGGATTGGCTTAATTACACCTTTAATCAGTTATTTCCTTTACAAATCAAATAGGTCGATTATAGGCACATATTATTACACTGTATACAGACTAACTTTTGTATCCAGAGCCGTAAAACATATTTATAATAAATAAAATAAAAGTTAATACGCGTTTTACGATGCGATTCCAAATTCAAATTATAAAATCTGCCACAGGACGTATTTTAACCAGAAATAAAATCGAATAAAAGAAAATTAAATGTATTTTATCGCAATGCGCGTTGATATTTTAATTATGTTTTTTATTCAAAATATTCACAATTTGCTTTGATTGTGAAATACTATTTTTAAAGTATATTAACTTAATTGCTAAAATTGTACAAAACGTCAAATAGTTTTAAGGTAAATCTTACCATATTTATGATTAATTTATTATATACGGTTTTATAAAATATAAATGTAAGTTTTCGCTATAGATTTAGAGAATGTTATGTCCCCAATGTCACTTAAACAAATTTAAGGGTGGGTTGATTCGAGGGGGAGATATGATGACTCAGTGAAACGACGTTCTAATTGACGTAGTATCTGTTCGCAGCTTTGAATCTGTTACATAGAATTAAATAGGATTTATTTAATTAACCATGAATCATAGATGCAACGTTTAAATGGAGGAATTTCAAAATTTTCACGAAACGGTAATATAAAAAACGAATTAACCGTTTGGCTATGGCTCGTTTGGCGTCACGCGATATATTATGTTAATAAATACAATTAGGTGCTGCGTTGCTCACGGTCCAGTGTCGTTCAACTTGAAATGAGCTTTACGAATCTCGGCGTCTTGCGAGTACGATTTTGAGTGGGTGCACACTCGCAGCCGAAATAATTATTAAAAAGAAAAAAAAAAAAAAAAAAAAAAAAAAGAAAGAAAAAATAAATGAAGTAAAACAATCTTATGTGTTTTTATGTATGTATATTTGTATATATGTATGTGTGTATTTATATTTAGTTGTATATTAATAGTTTATTTCAGTGTAGATTACTATTTAAACCTATTCCGGTGTACACCTGTACACTTAATTTTAAGTTATTTACATAAGTGTAAATAATTGTTTTTAATTTTATTTTATTATCTTATTTCCACTCATCAGAATTTTGATTAATTCTACCCCCAAAGGGATAAAATAGGGGATGAAAGTTTGTATGAAACTTTGTCAATTTTAAACCGATCGGTCTGAGACTTTGCATGCATAAAGCTACTATGACGTAGGCATCCCATAAGAAAGGATTTTGGTAATTCCCACCCCTAAGGGGATAAATTAACGCGAGCGAAGCCGCGGGCAAAAGCTAGTCTATACATATAAATAAAATTGGAGTGTCTGTTTGTAATATCGAAATAACCGTTCTTTACTACGTGCACATGAATATAAATACGGTACCTATATACACCAAAAACCACTTTTACCAATTTTTGTCTGTCTGTCTGACGGTCTGTTTGTTCCGGCTAATCTCTGAAATGGCTGGACCGATTTTGACGGGACCTTTTTTGGCAGGTAGCTGATATAATAAGGAGTAACTTAGGCTACTTTTATTTCAGTAAAATAAAGTTAAATTTCAGGCGCATAATCGCTGGAAGAGCTAGTTATAAACAAAATTATAAAAATCTTTTCTTTCGCATTGTGCTTAGAGGACTTCGTTCCCACATTAACAAAGCTGAAGTTTACTTGGGCGACTATAAATAGAAGCCTGACTAACACATGGGTGACACAGCCAATAACAGTTCGTTGTTATTTTGAATTATAAACACTCTACATTGGGGCGTATGTTATAAATTAAGCACGGATTTACATTGTTTTATGTATTTTTATGTATTTATGTTTTATTTTATGTATGTTTATTGTATTTATTTTTGACGACCTCGGTGGTCTAGCGGTCAAGCACACCGCTTTACGGCCGATGGTCGCGGGTTCGATTCCTCGCACGGCACAAACATTTGTATTCATGAGTATGATTGTTTGTATCGGTCTGGGTGTTTTCTATGTATAATATGTATGTATTTACAAAAAAAAATATATCTATGTATATGTATCAGTTATCTAGTACCCATAACACAAGCTCTAGATAGCTTAACTTGGGTATAGATGGCTCTGTGTGAATTGTCCTGAGATTATTATTATTATTACATATATATATATATATATATATATATTTATTATATCTCCCTTTTTACGGGGGTAATATATTCAAACACGCGGGCCTTAGTCAAGCTTGGATGAGTTATGTGATGAAGATAGAAATTTTCTGACTATTCGGCATGTGTTTAGTATGACGGCTTTTTGTAATAGGTCTATTGTAGAGGAGGGGATGTGCAACGTGTCTAGGTGTTTGTTCAGACTTTTTGGTATAACTCCTGTGGATGACAAAACTATGGGTACTATGTGGATGGTGTGTGCTTTCCATTGTTTTTTATTATTATTTAATATAATTTATGTACGTGTCGTAGATTTTAGTCGATGATAACGTAAGAATTATAGTCGTAACTGATATTAACGCGAAAGATTGTGAGAATGGATGGACGGATACTCTTTCACGCAAAAATTATTGAACGGTTATTGAAACTTTACAGTAATATAGCTTACTAGCTGCCCACCCCGACTTTGCACGGGTGTACATGTATTATATATATAAACCTTCCTCTTGAATCACTCTATCTACTAAAAAAACCGCTTCAAAATCCGTTACGTAGTTTTAAAGATTTAAGCATACATAGGGACGGACAGCGACAGCGACTTTGTTTTATACTATGTAATGGTACATCAGAATTACTGATTTTATTACTATTTGTAGCTCCTTACGTAGGTCGAATCACAAAATGAACAATAATTTATTAAATTAAAGACAGACAGAATTATTGCCGTTTCCGAGTTGCAAACATAAATGCAAGCAGAACGTGTACCTATTACCGTAGTGTAGGACTTAGGAGAATATCTGTACGAGAAGACTAATAAAATAATAATAATAATCTCAGGACAATTCACACAGCGCCATCTAGACCCAAGTTAAGCTAGCTGAAGCTTGTGTTATGGATACTAGATAACTGATACAAATAGATATGTTTTTTTTTTCGTAAAAACATACATATTATATATAGAAAACACCCAGACCGATACAAACGATCATACTCATGAATACAAATGTTTGTGCCGTGCGAGGATTCGAACCCGAGACCATCGGATGTAAAGCGGTGTGCTAGACCGCTAGACCATCGAGGTCGTAGTCTTACTAATATTATAAACGCAAAAGTTTGTGAGAGTATGGATGGATGTTTGTTACTCTTTCACGCAAAAACTACTGAACGGATTTTAATGAAACTTTACAGTAATATAGCTTATACATCAGAATAACACCTAGGCTATAATTTAAAAAGATATTATGTAAATTGGTCGAAATATAATGATAAATGTCAAGTAAATGTAATGCAAACGAATTTAGCTAGTATAAGTTGAAGTTATCACTAAGAGTTAAATTTATTATTTTTCCATCAACTGTATGATTCAACATCATCAGGTGATAACTGATAATGTATAGCGCGATAAGTAGTGAAATATTACAAAATTAAACTTATTACTCGTAATAAATTTATTTATTTATTTTTTATTTGCATTGTTTATGACTTATTATCAAATATTTACGTATTTA